TAATTAAGGACATAATCCTTCCAACAGCTACTGCTAATGTGGTTCAAACCCCAGCTAGATGGGGGTCCAACCCCAGCTAGAAGTTGAAGGTGGCGATGTTGTCCATGTGTTGGCTCTAGAGACACAAAGATGGAAGGGTTAAGGCGTCATGGACAAGTAGCAGACACGCATTCTTCTCCATTAGTTATTCTTTATTTTGAGACAGGGTCTCCGATCACCGCAAAACCCTAACAATAATCCTAGTTGTTTTAACTTTGCAGTCTGAGCTGGACCTGGTGGCACTCATCTGTAATCTAAGCTTTCAAGAGGCTGAGGGTCATGAGTTCCAGCAGTGGGGGGAGAGGGAAGGAGAGGGAAGAGAGACCAGTACAGCAGCACATACCTGTGATTCTAGCTTTTGGTACAGTGGCTCTCAACCGTCCTAGCCTGTTCCTCCTGTTCTGGGACCCCCCCCAACCAAAGAATTATTTCGTGGCTACATCATAACTGTAACTTTGCTACTGTTATGAATTATAATGTAAACATCTGTGTTCTCCAATTGTCTTAGGTGACCCCTGTGAAAAGGTCATTCAACCCCCAGGGGGTCATGACCCACAGGTTGAGAACCACTGCTTTAGTCAGTGTAGGCAGGAAGATCAGGAGTTCAAGGCCAGTTTCAGCTACGTAGGGAGCTTGAGGCCATCCTGAGCAATGTAAGATCCTGTCTCGAGAAAACAAACAGAAATTAAGATGAAGGAGAAAGAGCAGATTGACTTCCGGCCTACAGCGCCTACCCCTGCCACGTCCCAGGCATGAGTCTCTTCAAACAGCGGTCTGACCTCTTGAAGTGCCTGTAATTTCTTTTGGTCAGTGTGCAGACATGATGTGGCAAGTGAAAGAAATTCCCGGGGAGATGCCTGTGGCATTGGGGTGGTCACGTAAGGGGGGAAGCCCTCCACGGACCTGTCTTTGTTGAGCCTGCACCCCTGAACTATGAACTCAGTGCTTCCCGGTGTTTGGTTTGGTTTTGTTTCTCTACCTAGATGGGTCTGGAAACTGGAGGAAACTACGGTTTGGGACCCCCTCCCTCAGGCGGTCTAAGCTCTGGTAGACCTTATTAGGAAGCGTGCTCTGGCTCATTTTAAATGATTGTTTTACCCTCCCCTGGCAGCAGGAAGACACAAAAGAAGGTAGCATCCTGTCCTGGCCCCTGGGAGCTTTCTCTCTCACTGAGCCTCCAGCAGTTCCTCAGTGACAGCTCACGTTTCCCTCTCCCAGCCCTGGGGCCCGCTGGTTTCTGCTCTGTTAAGTTGTGATTTTCTGTATCTGCCTTTCCATCTCTCCAATGCTGGTGACGGCAGCTTGCCCTGTGATGACCTCATTTCTTTCTCAGATGTCTGTCAGTCTTTTCAGCTTTTCAGGGTTTTTACTTATTAGACGGGAGTGCTCACTTTTGTTTTTTGTGCGTTGTGAGTTTTGAAACAGGGTCTTATTCAGTAGCCCAGGCTGTCCCGAAACTTGCTAACCTCCCAAGTGTTGGAATAACAGGCATAAGCCACCTTACCCAGCTTGCAGTGATCACTTTGCTCACACACACAGGCATGTGCACAAACTTTTCTGTTGCAAAGCACGCTCATAATGGGCACATTTTTAATGAAAAAAAATGCATCTTTATTGGGCCGGAATTATTGCCTCCATTGACTGTTGGCCTCTGCCAACTACGCTGCAGTGGGGTGCTGGGAGAAACTGAATGAGCAATGGTCGTCCCTCAGATAAACCTCATTGGTTACAGCGTCACTGCACATCGCTGTTGACAGGCTCTTAAAGCCGCTTCTGCTTCACTAAGCATAAATCTTGGACAGTTTTCTTTTTCTTTTTTTTTTTCAAGACAGGGTTTCTCTGTGTAGCTTTGCACCTTTTCCTGGAACTCGCTCAGTAGCCCAGGCTGACCTCGAACTCACAGAGAGATCCACCTGCCTCTGCCTCCCAAGTGCTGAGATTAAAGGCGTGCACTACCACCCGGCCCTTGGACAGTTTTCTATGTTAATATTCATAGCAGATAAAGGGGCTTCCCACTAGAACTGACTACCTGCGTTCCAGCCCCCAGTCTCACACTGGGGAAGGAGAGAACCATCTCTCAAAAATTGTCCTCTAGCCTCCAGGTGAGCACCACCATGTTCTCTAAATAAATACAATTTTTGTTTTTTTTTTTTGTTTGTTTGTTTTTCAAGACAGAGTTTCTCTGTATAGCCCTGACTGTCCTGGAACTCACTCTGTAGACCAGGCTGACCTCAAATTCAGAGAGCTACTAGTCTCTGCCTCCCAAGTGCTGGGATAAAAGGTGTGTGCCACTGCCATCTGGCTCATAATTTAAAAATTAAATATAAACACACATCATTATTTTATTGATTATATGACTTACATTGCATATACTGTGAGTTGTTGAACCATTCTGATAGAAATTAAGGTATTTTCCAACATTACAAATTATTCCGCACCAAATATTTGTGTGCATGTTTTGGTGTTTATATGATTGCTTCCCTGTGGTAATGTCATTGAAATAATAGTTTCTTTCTGATAGAAAATTTAGAAAATGGTGGCAAGTCCATTCCCTGAAGCGATGACCACTCTCAAGGTTTTAGCCATGTTCTAGCTTTGGTATAGTAACATCTGCAGTCGGTAATGAGCGAATATCAATCCCTGTCCCTCCTGGATGTGAGTCTTCCTGTGGCAGGGACTTGAACAGCTATGGATTATGTCTTGGCTTCCCTGGTTTACCTTAGGAGCTCAGCCCTTATTTTCTCTGGCACACCACACACCCCTATGCCTAGGCATGTGTTTAAGACCAGTTTGTCATGGAGTTATCACTGTAATATAATACAGTTGATTATCTTATCTCGTTTCCAGGGCTAAGAAGATTCCCAAGTGACTGCAGAGCTAAAGACAAGCCCGCAATGAGCAAAGGCCTATTTTCTCTTTTTCATGGATATAAATTGCTGTGTTTACTCTGCTTTCTGTGTTGTCTGTAGACCTTAAGAACGCTGTCCAAAGCTAGGCATAGTGGCACACTTGTCATCTTAGTGCTTTCAAGGTAAAGCAAGAGGGCCAGGAGTTCAAAGTCTTCCTCATCCATTTAGTAAGTTCAGGGCTACCCAGGGTGCCTGAACCTGTGTCAAAAACAAAAACAAAAACAAAAACAAAAACAAAAACAAAACAGGAGTGGCTGGAGAGATGGCTCAGTGGTTAAGAGTGTTTGTTGCTCATGAGGGACCCCCATTCAGTTGCTGGCTCTCACCTGGTGCCTCATAAGTACCCATAACTCCAGTGCCAGGGAATTCAGTGACTTCTGACCTCCACAGGCCCCAGGCATACACATGGTACACATACATCACCCAGGCAAAACACTCATATCCATATAAGAAAATAAATTTTAAAAAAATTAAAGGCTCAGTAGTATATCACTTGCCTGGCCAAAAAAAAAAAAAAGATCGGAGCTGCAGCTCAGTTGGTAGAGTGTTTGCTCAGCATGTACTAAGCCCTGGGCTCCATCCCCAGAAGCACATGAAATCGGGTATGGCAGTGCCCTCCTGTAATCAGCATCAGTGGGCGGGGACAGCAGGCACCGCCCTCCTGTAATCAGCGTCAGTGGGCGGGGACAGCAGGCACCGCCCTTCTGTAATCAGCATCAGTGGGCGGGGACAGCAAGCACCGCCCTCCTGTAATCAGCATCAGTGGGCGGGGACAGCAAGCACCGCCCTCCTGTAATTAGCGTCAGTGGGCGGGGACAGCAGGCACCGCCCTCCTGTAGTCAGCATCAGTGGGCGGAGACAGCAGGCACCGCCCTCCTGTAATCAGCGTCAGTGGGCGGGGACAGGAGAATCATCAGAAGTCTAGAGTTATCCTCCATACATATCAAGTGCATGGCCAGCCTGTGCTACATCAGAACCTGTCGTGAGAGAGGATGAGGGTTGGAGCAACGTCTCAGTGGTTCAGAGTACTACTTGCTCTGTTTTCTGAGAACTATTCAGCTCTCAGCACTCACACAGTGGCTCACAATCACCTGTAACTCTAGATCCCAGTCTCCAGGGGATACGATGCCTTCTTCTGGCTTCAGGCACTCGTATGGGACACACACACACATACAGGCAAAACACTCATAGAGCCAAGAATAAAATAAACATATAAAAACGTAGAGACATAATTCCCATTCTATATCACTGGAAACACAGCTTCACCAAACTCTGGGACAGGCTGAACCATGACAAGGACATTATTATGGGCCCCTGACATCGACAATAGTCAGTGCCCCCAATCCATGCCCAGAATACAAGAAACAGGCCCGGGAGGTGGCTCAGTGGGCAAGAGTGTGCTTCCTGTGAAAGCAAGAGGACCTGAGTCCAGATCCCCAGCAATCACGATTGGCGGGCGTGGCTGTGAGTGATGCTATCCTCAGAACTGGGGAGTGGGGTGGGGAAGGAAGATCCCAGGAGCTTGCTGAGAAGCCAATCCAGCTAGACAGTCAGCTTCAGGATCAAGAGACGCAGATTCCAAAAATAAGGTGGGGACAGACGGAGGAAAACACTGTCCATCTCTCTTCTGGTCTTTACAGGTATGCACACATGCTTGTGTACAGGCACGCACATGTGCCCATACAATACACACTTCATACACATGAAAAGGAAGAAAGGATAACTGAATCTCGAGAACTAAGGTGGCCCAGGACAACCAGGCTTCATACATGGAACTGGATTTGAGGGGACATTTGGAGTTGAAACCTTTTCTGTTACTACACTGGGAAAACAAGGACGTGCTTTGGAACAGGGTCAAGGGTGCTCTTGTTAGGAGGTGCAGCCACATACGTGAGGTTCTCAAAGACCTGGGCCTCTATTCCTCTTACCTTTCTTCATCTGCTTCCCATCAAGAGAGCTGAGAACCTTGAGAGGAAATGACGTCACAGGTAGTAATAACTAGACCACTAGCAAGACAGCAAGCTCAACATGTTTAGATGACAAGCGTGAACAGAGCATAAACCGTAGAAATACCCCAAAGAAATAAAGGGAAGTACTGGTAGTGAATCAGAAGCAATCATAAAGAACCAAGTAAGGGTGGGGTGGAGGTGCTCACCTGTAGACGTAATTCTGAACGGTTTTATTAAATAAGAAACACAGAGACAAATGCAGAGTTAAAAGCCCAAGAGGTCAGGGCAGCAGCCAAGAGCTAAGACCAAGACCGCCTTCTTACCCCTCACTGTCGCTGTCGTCCTTCCCCTCAGAGAGAGACCTACTTCCTGTGTGTCTGTCTTTTGATTGACTTTCTGTTGTGCCTTCTCATTGGTTGTAAACCTAACCACATGACCTCCTCGTCACTGTCTGTCTATACAGACCTCCAGGTCTCCATGGTTGGTATTGAGATTAAAGGCATGTGTCACCATACTGGTGATGTCCTTGCACACACAGAGATCTGCCTGTCATGTGATCAGGATTAAGGGCGTGAGCTACCACTGCTATGGCTTGCTCTTAGCTCTGACCCCCAGGTAGCTTTATTTATTAACATAGAAATAAAATCACGTTTCAGCACAAATAAAAAATCACCATACTCACCAGCCCCAGCTTTGGGAGACAGAGGCAGGAGGGTCCTGAGCACAAGACCAGCCTCTGCTCAAAGCAAGTTCCTCATCTCAAAACTACAAAAGGAGCCAGGTGGTGGTGGTGGTGGCACACACTTAATCCCAGCACTCGGGAGGCAGAGGCAGGTTGATCTCTGTGAGTTTGAGGCCAGCCTGGGCTACCGAGTGAGTTCCAGGAGAG